GCATATCTCTATTCCTACCACCAATTATTAAAAACGGTAATGTTATTATATTTTCTACAAGATTTTTCACCCAAGTATTTACTTTTGAAAAATTACACAAGTAATATGTGCATATAATTTTTTGCAGATATTTAAATATTTATGTTCACTGGGTGTTATGGATTGAACTGTGTTCCCCCCAAAAAATTGCTGTAAATTCTAACCTCTATACTTGTAGATATATGAGAATGGGTTTTCTTTGTTTTCTTATGAGACACTACCAGTACAGGGTATTTCTTAAATCATTCTCTTCTAAGACATAAAAGAGATTAAACAAGCAAGTGAAAAGATGGGGGAAGAGAGATACCAAACCACATGAAGATCACCAGGAGCAGAAGCTCACATGAGACAAAGATCTCCCTCCAGAGCTGACAGAGAAAGTCTTCCCCTAGAACTGGCACCTTACAGTCTTACTTCTAGCCTCCTAAACTGTGAGGAAATAAATGTCTGTTTGTTAAAGCCACTATTTGTATTTCTGTTATAGCACTACTAGATAACTAAGACACCGAGGCTCTAGGCTCTCTTTCTATGTTCCTGGATGATCTCTTCCACTCCCATGGCTGCAGTTTGATCCCAAACTCTATACCACCAGTTACCACTCTATCCTTCACTAACATCTACTTATGACTTATGCTCTTATACAGAAAAGAGTTAGCATAGCAAGCCTGATTGCTTATCTTTAGATAGGTCCTTGACTAGCATCTGGAAACTTGGATTTCAGGAGGTTCCCACCATTAACTAATAAGATTGGCTCACTGTACATATTTATACAAACATATATTGTTGTTGTTGTTTTGTGCCGTCGAGTCGGACCTGACTCATAGTGACCCCTCCTTGGGTTTCCGAGGCAGTATCACTACGAAAGTAGATTGCCCAACCTTCCTTCTGAGGAGCACCTGCTTTCCTTCTAGGAGTCTGAAATTTGGTTACATGATAGGCAAGGGGTGACAAGCCCCCAATAAATACTCTGCATGCTAAATCTCTAAGGAGCTTCCCTGGCAGACAACATTTTATATATGTTGTCACAACTCATTACTGGGGGAATGAAACATGTCCTGTGTGACTCAATTGTGAGAGGAGCCTTGGAAGCTTGCACCTGGTTTCCCCAAACTTTGTCCCATGTGCCTTTCCCATCACTGATTGTGCTTGGTATCTTTAAGTGCAATGGGTCACAGGCATGAATATAACATTTGCTAAGTTCTGTGAGTCCTCCTAGTAAATTGCTTAGTCTAAGAGTGGTTTAGGGGACTTCTGACATGTTCCTTATATCCATCAACCATCCAGAAATCTCCATTTAGACCAGTCTCTCAACTGCAGCACTATGGATATTTTAGGCAAGATAATTGTGTTGAGTGCTGTCTTCTGCATTGTAGAATGTTTAGCAGCATTCTTGGCCTCTATCCATAGCACTTTCCTAGTCCATGAATGTTGCCAAATGTCCCCTAGGACTAAACTCATCTTCCATCCACCAAATATACTACTTTTCTTGTGTTTTCCATCTCAGAGGAGAGAACTTCCATCTACCTAGACATCCAAGTCAGACCTGGTAATTACTTTTGTCTTCTACTCCCTCTCTCCCTATCTATTCAGCCAGCAACTTCTGTTAATTCTACATTTTTAAAATTATTCAAATTCTTTCATTGTTTTCATTTCTTTTATGTAGGGGGAAAACAAAACTAGGCCTGACATAGACAAAGTAAATGAAGAGACCCAGGCTAGTGGGCAAGAAAAGAGAAGAATCTCATAAAATGTCTGGAAGCGAGACACAAATGTGATTCCTGAATCCAGTGTTAGGGTTAAAATTTCAAGGAAGAAGTATCTCTTCTCCGAGTCTAGGAAGAAGTAGAGTTAAGCTATGAAGACTCTGATACGTTCAAGACAAGTTCAGACTATAGAGGGCTTCAACTTTATCTACAGAACTCAAGGATTTAAGGAAGAACATCTAACTCAGATTTCAAAAGATGTTATATGCCTTGTTCTCACTTATGCGTACAGCTGTTTCTTAGTAATTCTCCCTCCAGCATCCAGGAGTCTATGACTTGTTCCAACCAGATAATGATGTCAGGTTTAGAAAATGGAAATCCTGCTCATGGAAAACAAACAGATATGATTGCTAGTTCAAAAGACTACCCTATTCCCATTCCCACTCTGTTGTATTTTAAAGAACAGAGGATAGGATGCCTGTCAAAAGTAATTGAATATTTTGTATCAAATTATTGATATAAAATATAATTGTTTTATATCAGTAATGATATAAAAAAACAGTTTAAGGATTTGATCAAGGTTCTGAGGGGCAAAAAAAGCATTTGTTATTTCCTAATAACAGGAACAAGGGAATCTTCAAAAAGCAAAAAAATAAAAAATACAAACCAGCCACCATCAAGTTGCATCTGACTCATGGTGGCCTCATGTGTGTCAGAGTAGAATTGTGCTTCATAGGGTTTTCAATAGCTAACTTTTCAAAGTAGATCCCCAGGCCCTTCTTGGTCGACTCAAATCTCTATCTTTTTGGTTAGTAGCTGAGCACATTAACCATTTGCACCATCCAAGGTGTCTTCAAAAACCAAAGACATCCCAAAAGGCAGTCCTGAGGTAGAAGAATAATCTTACCCAAAGAAACTAGATTCCTATAGTTTTCTAGGATTACATCTCTATACACGGCTCTCTGAGCAAGGTCCAGTTATCTCCATTCTTCCTCAAAATTCACAGCCACGTCCTTGAATGATACAAAGCCCTGAAACACCTGCACAAAGTCAAGGCTGAATAAAGCAGAATTAGAGGATATTAATAAAATGGAGAGAAAAATGTATCTAACCATTCTATAGTTCTAAGATTTTATTGACATAGTAATTTCATCTCCAAAAATCAATTACAATAAAATTATCAGAAATATGGGGGAAAATTATGAATGAAGATTTTTATCTAGTTATAATTTACAACAAATAGCAAAAAATTCCTAAATACCTTAAATGTTTTGAAGAATATAGTAGAAACTACTAGCTGTTCTCTAAAATTCTCCTCTTTCTAGAAACAAAAACATTTCCTAGCCTCCATTGCAGCAAGATGTGGCCATGTTACTAAGCTCTAGCTAATGGAATGCTAGCAGAAGTAATGTGTCCCATTTCCAGGCCTGATCCATACACACTCCCCACGTCTCCATATTCTTGCCCCTTCTGGCTTGCTGTTATGGTGATGACTCCCTAGAGTGGCTTTGGAAACCATATGGTAAAAATGTCAGAGCTACAGATAGCCCAAATCCCTGAATGCCCCCCCCCCATCCACTGCTGACTCAGTCCTACGGTTGCAAGAACTAAACTTCTATTGAATTAAGTCCATTACACATTTCGGATCTATTTGTTATCAGCTGGCCAACCCCAAATAATTCATCTTGAATTAAATTGGCACCTTGAAGTGGAAGGTACCATAACAAAAATCTAAAATACATAAGCTTCACTCCCTTGATAATCAAGTATCAGGTTTCAAAGAAATGGATATTTAAGGCTGGAAAGATGGAGACACTTGACATACAGTGG